GGGGGGGGGTAGGAGCACGCTCTGTAGTTTCAGGAGGCTTGTTGTGTTGAGCCTTTCCTCACGTCTGTATTCCTCTGGGTATCTGCCGTTGTGTGAAAGGGGACACCCGTTTTGTATCCAAAAATTGACTCAGCTGCAGCCAAAGAGCATTGGCAGACGAAGGGAGACGGCGCTCGTCACAATGGACCGAGCACAGCGCTTTCTCTAAATCTTAGGTTGCGTACTTGGTGTCATTTTTCCGCGTTTGGCTCTACAGACGACTCTCTACTGATGCTACCCTTTTCTGACAATTCATTCATGCAAGTGTTCTTAAGACTTTTACCCAGTAGAGCAATCACTGGAGATCCAAGCAAAGCTGATACGCTGCCTTCTATTGCAATTTGAGTGGCGAATACTGTCGCTCGAGAATCCGGTTCCACGATTTCAGATAGAATGGGTCGGTTCACTCCGCTGGGACACCAAGATATTGCGAAGCCTGAGATTGGCGAAGCAGACAAGTTCAAACAGGAAACAGATTATACGCGAAGACAGGGCAACAAAAAATCACTTTAAATGATACACTTGGGGGGACAGGCTGAGGTATTCTGCAATTAAAGCGGAGAAAAGCACCAGATGCAAAAGGCAGAAGCCGCTACCGCACCCCAAGGGACACTGTCGTGCTAGTCGCGTTGTCGGTTCGTCTAAGCACAACCATATTCTCACATACTTGGGTTACGGATACAGCATGAACGTAATAGTATTCATAATACAGTATGGGCCCTGTACAACAGCTGTTAAGTTGCGTTGGCAAGCCCCGAAGGGGAGCGCCAACCTTCTGTGTGCTCTATTGTGTATGTGTGTGTATATGCATGTATGCGTGTATGTGTGTGCGTATAATGCGTGCTGACCGAGGAAAAGCATGTCTATTGCATACAGTCCGAAGAAGTCTGGCCTCCTTGGTATACCCAACAAGCCGATGTAGATGAGCGGTAGGGCCAAGAGGGTGCCGAGCTGTCCCACGAGAGGTCGCCCATGGAAAGCGTTGAATCTTTCTGCTTGATCTCCTAGCCAACCTCCGAAGAGAGAGCCCAGTAAACCTCCCACAAGAGGGCAAGCTGTGAGGAGAGAGGCCTGCCAGTCCGGCATGCCCACATACTGGAAATATAGAGTGTAGAACTGAAAGGCGTGCAGTGGAATATAGCCGCAAATTCCTTGCAACAGCAACAGCAAGAACGTCCGGCTGAGAGCTGCACGACAAAAGTTGCTGCATCGACGGTAGAGCTCAAAACAAGCACTTTGCTGAATGTTTTCGGTCTCCTCCAACGTCAAGACGTTTCTCCCTTCATCTGCAATTACCATAGAATGACGGCGCGGCTCCTTTGCAACGATCTGTACCAGCGCCGCTGCAAACAGCGACAAAACGCCTGCCGAAAAGAAAGCAATTCGCCACCCCTGCAACCGCAAAAAAACAACGAAAGGAATAATAGACAGAATTGAAACACTCACCTCAGGGGACTGCAGGTACAACACGCGCCCGACCCTTGCTTCTCTGCCTATCTGTGCGCCGTCACTTCTCCTGCACCGTGCATGCTAGATTACTTTAAGGGGTTTTGTTTAGGGTTTTGTTACATTTGAATGGTTTGACTCACCTTCACGCCACCGATGACAGTGATACTGGCAAGGGAGCCGCCCATCGTCGCTCCCAGAATGCACCCTAGGCAAAACATGTCATAGCAGTCGAAGACGCCATCTCTCATGCCCTTCTCGAGCTGTATGTTCGTCTGTCGAGATAACAGCTGCCCCTTCGATGCACGTGGATGCCTCTTAGACTGCTTAGATCAAGCTCATCCAAAAAGGCAAGTGCAGGGCTGGTGAGGCAGTGGCATAGGGTTGTTCAGGGGTTAAGCTTCCGGCTAACCGGCGCATAGGAACAGCTGAAGCCAGCCGAAGTGTTCCCCCCGCATTGTGGGGGGGAAAAGGTCCGCTATAAGCGATTGCGCCACAGGGCCAATGCTGCACAGTCGCAATTTTGTGAACAGGTCGTCATTATGAGCTGCTCAAACTACTCGCCGCAGCTGCAGCTGAAAATTTTGCACCACAACCAACAGCAGCAAAAACAACCGCAAAAGCAACGGAAGGCAGGAAGCCGCATCTATATTGAGCTCGTTTGAATCAGTAGGTGCCATTAGAGTTCTCTTTCACCTGGCCATGGCCACCCCGTTAAGCACTTTCAGAAGAGCGAACTGCCAGAAGAAAGTGGAGCTCGCCAAAAATATCGCCACGATTCCCCAACCAGCGCAGCCTACGGATAAAAGCCGCACGCGCGATGTTCTGTCGGCCAGTAGACCCCAAAATAGTCCCGATATGGCCTGTGAAACGCTCTGAAAAAGCAAATACACGCAAGCTCAAAGTGAATGGAGGGCACACCAACCAGGTCATACAATTGTTCTACTGCAGTGACAAGAACAACGGGAGCAACATCCCTTGTAAAAGCGCCGCACAAGACCAACGAAAGGAATAGAGGGAGGCGAAAGACTTTCCTGATAGAAAACAAGAGAGCCGAGATCCTGCAGAGCCCAGTGGAAGTCGGACTGTAGCGCTTTGAAACTGGCGGGCATGAGCTGCATGTCTATTCCTTCAATGCCGCATACCACGTTTAGCACTGAGAAGAAAATACATACATCCAGAACTCCACAGGAAGACCTTCCTTCAGTGGGAATCTACGTTATATGGCGGCAAGTAAGACAAAAACGGCATGTGTGCGCGCGAAAACTGGCACCCGACCCGGCCGCACCTGCTTGGGTCCTTGCCGTAGAAGCCCGCAGCTTGAACTCTCCAGCCTTCAGGGGCTTACTGTGCCTCTCGTAGTTGCTGAACAAACAAGACTCAAGCATTCGCAGCCAAACCAATCCAGTTTAAGGAAGTGGGGAGGCATATTAGATGGGAAGACGATTGAATGACTGCGCAGCCAGGTGATCCAGATCAATGCTCCCAGGTATCCCTTCAGGACTCCGAGATATTTCATGTTTCTAGTAGCTAAATTCAGGCTACAAATATCTGGTGCTTAGAGGGGTTCCACGTTTCAAGCCTCACGCATCATCTTTCGACCGTGGCAGCAGTCCCCGGTTTTCGACAGAGTTTGAGCCATCGCCGTATGCGGTGCCAGCTACCGAAGCACCAGAAGACTCCATGTTGTTTTTTCGAAAACGTTTTAAGCGGCAGTGAAGTAAAGCCGCAACAGGTGAGGCTACTTGTCCCAGTTAGACAGTCGGCTGCCGTGCGTGACCGACGCCGACAGGGAGAGAGGGACTGGAGCTTGCAGATCGCGCATCCCAATGCTAGACTTTAACAGATCTCAAGAAAAAGAAGGGCAAAGTAGATAGGGGGTCTACACTGTGCCGCCAAGATGCATTCCTTGAAACGAACGGACCAGTGTGCATACAGTCGAGAACCAGCCAAGCCCGGGTGGACACTCTAAGCACTCGAGTCGTTTCGGAGGGGGGAGACTAAGTTGCTTGCGTATTCATTGACTATGCCAAAATTTAAAAGAAGCTTTCGATGCCAGATCAATCAAGTGGGGCCAGACACCGGCGAAACGAACCTCCGACCGCCAAGGCACCGCTGCCGCCTCGCCTGCCAATCTGTGTTGCCAACGCACAACGAAGGGCTTTGGTGTGCGTAAACAAACCAGAGTCTATGCCAAACGCCACTAAAAAAGTAAAGGAAAGCAACTTAGGAATAAATTAGTCACGAGGAGAGCCGAATCCGCCCTGTACGAGCAGCTCAGTGTGGCTGACTTGCTGCAGACGGGACTGCAAGAACTAGACGAACGCTAGGCAACGACTCTTCTGATGAAGTAGGAATTTATTCAGCTTCTACAATAATCCATGTATTGTATACTAATGGGAATAAAGTTGCAGCTTTTGAGTTAATGCCGGCTCATGCGTCCACGCATTCTACATGCGTAGCAGTCTCCCAGACGCTTATAGATGTACCGACATCTGGCTGCCTACTGGTCACTGTTGACAAGTTGTTTACTCTTTCCGCTCATGAACAGAATGCGTGAGAGACAATGCATTCTTGTGGGGTTGTCGTGTAGCAGGAGATGCAATAGTTTGTGGCGCAACACAGCAAGGGAACCTCTGCATGCCAGCCACAGGCCCCTCGGTCGCTCTCCTCAGGATAACTGGGGAAGGGCGTGGATGGGTAGTTCGGTTGCTTTTTTTTGAATGGTATTCATTTCGTTTTGATCCTGATGGAACACGCAACGTTCCCACCTGCAGCATGGTACGCCTCATAATGGCATCCGCGTTCCTAATAAGGTGCAGGTTGGCTACTAAGAGCCAAGCCAGTGTGTTAACAATTGGCTGTTGTGTACTGTCTTCATCAAACGGTCTATTAGTTCCGTTTGCGGGCTGGGGATGCGTTGTATCGAGAGTGGCGGCGAGGGGGCCACCAACCCATGGGAGATTGGAACAAAAGCATGCGTGTATCGCGTCTCTGAAATGGCTCCGTGTCTTTCTTTTTTCGTGGAAAATCGCAACTAATTGCACGAGGTGTTTTGCAGTTATCTAGAGCGTCGGCGCATTTACCTCCAGTGGGTGAGGGTGTGCTTGCATCGGGGACTACTCTAGGTCTTGCAACTGATGTCATGCCGCCTCTTATTTGCAGCAGAACCATACATTGCTGCGAATACGCCGGTTTCCTGAAGACTGACATGAGGAATGTGTACATCTGGTAACGTATAATGAATATACAGGATTTTATTACAGTCATCGCCCAAAGGTGAAGACTGCCGTTACCCCTGGAATGAGTGGGTAATGCGCTGCGAAGCCTACTACCGCAAGTGGAAGGCCTGGCTTATAACACCGAATAGCAGCGAAGGCTCTTGGTGGTTCTTCTATGCGAAGTTTTGTCGCAGCATCCGTTATGGGGAGGCGATTTGTAATTTTTGCAGAGCCTTGCAACTCAGCCCTTTGCGCTTGCTCTTCCGTAGCTACTGGAATTTGGATCGCTGTGCTCATGAAGCATAGATAATCGGGGTAGAGAGCAACTTTAGTTTTAGAAAAGCATTTCCCTTTTGAGAAAGTGTCATGCAGGCCATTGTTTGTTACAGAGGTCGAGGGCTCTCGGTACAGTAGGAGTCCCTTTTAAGGTCTAATTCAGAGCCCTTGCCAAGTGAGGGTGCATATCCCGAATGAGGGTCGGGAGGAGGATCAGCCAGCTGTTACCATACTCAGGCTGCTGCAGTTGGGAGACTAAAGCGGGGTAATGATGACCTGCGAGTCCAGGGTTCGGTTCCCTTCAAAAATAAAGGACACGAAGTTGGTGCCGGCGACAGCAGCACATCAGTTAGTGCCATCAGCAGTTAAGAAGGAGGAACCCACAGCTGGCAGGTCGCTGCCAGCTGTTCACGAGTAGATGACGGCAGACGCCTACTCGAAAAGGAATGGGCATTTGTCTACACACCCGACAACAGAGATAGCGACCGAGCAGCAATACGTGCTTACCTCATCGGCAGAGACATTGGCTGCCTGAAGAGGAGAAGCAAGAAAGTGGGCATTAGAAGCGTATGGTCACGGCTCCCAGGAAGTCTACCGGTAAGCAACACGCAAGTCGGGACTGGGAGCGATGGCAGCTATCTGGCAAAGACAGCAGATTGCTCTGATCTAGACCAGCAGCGCCTAACAAAAAGTATCAAGCAGCACGTGACAGGGCGGCAGCTCGATATGTGGAGGCCAAGGGAAATCTGTGGCCTACCAAACAGCAACTAGCAGCGTCGACCAATACAACTGCAGCCGGAAGGGGTGGTCTTCGCCTTGAGAGCACGGTCTGCGCAACTTCCCACAAGAGCATATCTGAAGAAAGATTAAAGCTTCGAATGCGTCTAGTTGTGGCCACTGCACAGCAGACCCTGAAACACTTGCGCATGTACTTAACCACTGTCCCCACAGCCTTGAATCGGGGCAAGACCCTACAAATTGATAGCCGTGCGGCGGGTATGGAGACTCTACTGAAGCCGGAGATCATTCTTAGGGACGACAATGCGATTCGCTTGTCATTGTCGTCCCTAAGAATGATCTCCGGATATATTCGAATCGCAATAGCTGATGCAGCTATAGTGTTTGAAGACTACCAGAAGAATTCGTTTGGATCAGCTCGTCTCCAGAAAGAAGAAAAGTATCAAAGCCTGAAGACTTACTATGAAAACCGTGGGTATAAGGTGTCAGTGCAAGCATTAATATATGGGTCCCTTGGGTGTATTGCAAGGGAAAACAAACGAGTGCTTACATACGATCTGGCACTCAATGAACGCACAGCGTGGTTTGTACAACGCGAAATTAGCACTGACTGTATCCGCCAGAACCATCGTATTTGGGTTTTTCACATGGCAGATAATGGCACGAGGCGAGCCAGAGGAGGCGGACGCTCTCGTGCTCCCACATCTTAAGTTGCATGATACACTAATGTACTAACACTAACACACCCGTTTGTAGCACACTTGGAATATTCAGACGAGTGAAGACGGTCGTCCCGGCTCCTGGGCGTGCCGTAGGAGTTAGCGCTCTTTCCGTTTCCCTTTTAAACCTTCTATCTCGAGGCAGCAATTCGTGACTCCAAGACAAAGATCTCAAAGTTTCCAGATCGAGGGTGGTCCGGTACAGTACAAGAGCCTTGGGCATCGGGTGGCGGTGCAGGTACTAGATTATTGTTCCCGAGGTAGTAAATGCACGAGAAAAAAGCGTGATTACACAGGGACCCGGGATCAGTGAACGTGCAGAATGGGCTATCCAGTGTGTCAGCAACAGTGACTGCACCCGCCACTATCATCGAATCGAGGGGTTCCATACAGCGGAGAACGGCACAAGGCGACAACGAAGTGAAGGCTTCACTAGTACACGCACATCAAAGACTGCGTGAAGGTCTAGTGGAATAATAAGACACAGACACACGCACACTCAGTGGGGACACGGGAAAGCAAAGACGCGTGAACCTGGTTGGCTTTCCAGGCAGGCGATAGGAAATGGTGCAATATTGGAGGCATACTCTCTCGCAAACTACCCAACTGAACCGGATTTTCCATTTTCCTAAACAATTGTCCCCATCTGTTCGGTCGGATATGCTGCCTTAATACCTTTCGGCAGGTTGTCGGAACTTGCATATGCAACAACAGCAGCTTCAGATCAGTATTTGATTACCTGGCGCTTGGTAGCGAAGCGTGTTCTAGCTGCAAGAAAACAGCGGTAGCTATCTCTTTCGCAGCAGGACAGATGGAGAAGGCGCCGTTGGTGTAGGGGGGAGTACTGAAAGAGCAAGAAGGTGGTTCAAGAGCACTGGAAGAACCAGGCAAGCTCCAGTAAGGTATCCCTTTGCGCGGTTCCTGTATGCGGGAGCGTACGTAGTGCAACGGCGATTAATCGGCCGGCGCTCAGGTGATGCTGTGAGTAACGTTTGCAGCAGCCGCCGAGGGAGGCACTGAAGAGGCGGCTGCAAAATACATTCGACAGGGCTTGGGGAGCTTGGCACTGACACACAACAAGCTTACTGTTGCTTCCCACATATTTTAGTCGCAGTTCCAGTCGCAGCGAAAAGCAAGACAAGCCCACATACAGCGCCGACGAAAGGGTATAGTCGAGCTAACAGGGACTAGCACCAACTAAAGAAAGAAGAATTTTGTTTTTTTATCACGTGCAGGTAGCATGAAAAAGTACACAGGGTACAACACGTGTACCGTCCGGTCTCGTCGCCGGGCTCTATGCGCTGCACGTGGGTGTTTAAATTGAAAGCTGGACAGTAATGCGGGCTTTATGAGGCCGTCTCCTTTTCAGGTTCCACATTATTTTTATCTGCGGTCTAGTGTGAGCAGCAGCTGAGTCAAAATACTCAATATAAGTGTTCGCTAAATACACCTGACCTACATCCCAAGTCTTGTGGTGTCCCGAGCTCATCGGCTCAGGCTACACATGGTAGGGCAGAGAAGGCAGCCCTGCATGACTTGGATCGCAACTTCCTGCAACTTGTGCTAGACATCTGCAGCTACCTCGCCTTCTGCCGGTCTTTGTGCTGTGCAGCGGGAGGCGGCAGAAGCACTAAAATGAGTCACCGCTTGACAGCTGAGGCGACAGTAACGGAATAAAATAATTTAAATAAATCGAAATAGAATAAAGCCCCAAAATAATTAAAAGGCTGCAGCCCGAACCAAAGGGGCCGCAAGGCTGCCGCGCCGCTGGCCCGAGACAGGAGTAGCTGAAGAGGAACGGCTGCGGCCGCCGGCTCGGGAGAAACTGAGGTGTTCGCTAATAATTTAAATAATCCAGAGCTGTCTATTTATTTTAATTTTGGATCCTGTCTCGCCAGTTTACCGTTCGGTGAGCGTGGCTCGCGCCGCATGCAGCAGCAGCAGCAACAGGACCAGCAGCAGCTGCGTCAACTGTTTGACTAGCAGTAGCAATAGATAAACGAGACTGCCGTTGCAGCGATCTTTGAGGCTACAGCGGCACTAACATCGAATCTCTTCTCCGCAGCAAGCGCAACAGCAGCAGCTAACAGAGCAGTAACAGCAACAGCCTCCGTCTCGCTTCCAAATCTGTAGGGCTTCTTTTGTGACACTTGGGGCCTTTCTGCTGCCTTTTACTCCCTAGCGAATCTTACACGCTTCGCTTTAAGCACTTTATTTACGTATCCCTGCAGCGGCCGCTGCCGCTGCCGTTCCGCCGCTGCTTGTGCACCTGGAGCTGCACACATATTTGGAAGGAGGTGGTGGATCTAATTGGGGCGGGCCTGGAGCTGCTGCTGCTGCTGCACCAGGGATATTGGCCGCCGCTGCAGCAGCAGCAACCGCAGTAGCATTAGCAGCAGCACTGGCAGCAGCATACTCGGCGGTGGCAATGCCTGCCTTCGGCCCTGTTTTCTCGTTCTCTCCATTTCAGGTTCCACAAGTAGCTGGCCCAGCAGCTGCTGCAGCGGCGGCCGGAACCGCAGCAGTAGCAGCAACAACGGCAGCAGAGACAGCAGCAGGAGCAGCAGCAGAGGGGCATCCGATGTCCGTTTCTGGGGAGCGTGTTGGTTGAGGGACCTTGTCTAGATTTGTCTAGTTTTTTTTTGCGTTTTGCTCCACCGGGTTTTGTTCCATCCTCCTGAGGAGGCTCAGCATTTGCCGCAGGATCTGCCGCAGCAGGGGCAGAAGGAGCAGCAGCAGGAGCAACAGAGGCAGGTTAATTTTGAGGATGGGTCTGTGGGCGCGTTTGTGTCCTCGTGTGTGTGGAGCCGAATGGCCGGTGCAGCTTCTGTGGCTGGTGTTGGAGAAGTTGGGGTTCGAGCGATGGGCAGTGAAGTTTGAAGAAGGATCAGCGCAGCAGAAGAGGTTGGGGAACCTGGTAGTGCGGACGCACGCAGCAGCAGCAGCCCAGCAACAGCAGCAGCAGTATCAGCAGCCAGAATGTCCTGCGAACACTGCTTTAGGGCTCAGCAGCTGGACCAACTGTGTGCGAACGACGCAATACACTTGGTGGAGTTTTCTGCCTCTGAATTTGCTGTCTCAAATAACACAACCTGCTAATTTTTACTTTTTGATCATGGCGTTGCTGCAGACACTGCCGCAGATAAGTGACAGCGATGGAATGCCAACATTTCTGTTTCCCTTGGGGTTGGTGATGGTTATAACTGCTGCCAAAGACGGATATGAAAACCTGAGCCGCGCGCGCGCAGACCGAATGGAGAACGCGCGGCGCTGCAGTGTATGTACACCGCAGGGGCTGACGACGGTGGCCTGGGCGGATTTGACCCCAGGAAGCATCGTGAAGCTCTCAGCCGATGAGGCAGTTCCTGCTGATCTTGTGCTACTGAACTGCGCAGATCCCTGTGGTGTTGCGTATGTAGACAGCGTACAACTCGACGGAGAAACGAACCTAAAAAATAAAATGTGTATTCCAAATATTGCAGCACTTGTCCAAAATGATGCAGACGCCGCGCGCCTCAAATGTGTGTCTGTTTTCGGCGGCCCGGCTTATCCGAGCATTTGCTGGTGTTGTCATCGTTGTTTTCTTTTGTTGCAGCTCCAACTGCTTTTGTTTGCCTCTCCTCTTGAGTTCATGCATTCAGTCCGTGTTGTCACCTCTTCGCTCGCTATCCGTCATCGCCTGGTTTTCCTTTCCCTTCTGTGTGTGCTTCTGGTCGTTGTGGCCTTTCTCTGTTTTCTCCCTTTGCATTCTTGGTCTTCTTTCTTTTCGTATCTCTTGCTGTGCTCCTGCCACTTTACTTCGTTCTGCCTCTGTTTGCGTGGTTGTCCCCCTATGTAGCTCCCCATTTGTGTCTGTTGGTGTACTTCGTTTTCTGTCTTTGGCCGCCCAACCGCAGCACGGTTTGTCTCCATTTGTTCATCTGCTCTTATATACCCATTTGGTCGTGTCTGTTTGCTGCTGTCTGCTCGTTTGCCCCTTCATCTCGGCCGCTGCATTCGTTGATTATTCGTTCGGTGGACGCCTTTGCCCGCAGCTGTTGAACTATGCATTGTAATATTTTGTTGTATGTTTACAGACACCTAAATATTATATGTCTCCATATTGTGATGTTTAATTTGCTGCTTTCAGTGGAAATCCACTACGAGGTGCCGTCTGCTGAGCTGTACAAGTTCTCCGGAACAATGCTGCTGCTGCCCTCCGCAGACGGCAACGGAAGCGCAGCAGCTGTAGCAGCAGCAAAGGCAGATGCAGCAATATCTCCAGGCAGTCTCCACATGGCCGCCTCCCCTATGGTGTCAACCCATAGCAATGGAGGGCAGCAGCAAATGACTGAGAAGCAGCCGCACCAGGAAGAGATGCTACTGCTGCAGCAGCAGCAAGATGACGACTTGTTAGTTGGAGGCATTACTGCGCAAGGCTCTTCGCAATCAGCGTTGCTTCAGCAGGAGCAGCAACAGGAGCCGCTGCAGCCGCAGCAACCGCAGCAGCAACAGCAGCAACAGCAGCAGTACGCTGTCGACATATCGCAGTTCGTGTGGCGTGGGGCTACCGTCCGCAGCACGGAGTGGATCTATGGCCTTGTGGTGTACACGGGACATCAAACACGCATCATGAAAAACACAAAACAAAGGGAGCTGAAATACTCGAGGACTCAGGTGGTCTATAACCAACATGCCGTCCTCCTCGCGATTGCGCAGGTCTGCTGCTGCTGCTAGGACTGCGGCCGCCGCTGTGGCTGCTGCCTCTTCTGCTCTTTATTGTGTTGCTGCGACTTGCGCTGTTGTTTTCGCTGCTGTTGGTGTTGACAGCCAGTTGTTTGTCCTGTTGATGATGTTGGTTCTGCTGCGAATGTTTCGCTGTACGGAAGTAGAGGGTTGGTTGCACGCTACGTGTACGTTGTTCTATCTATCCTTATCTATCCTCTATCTATTTAGGGTGGAGGTCATGGGTTTCGGGTGGGTGCTGCTGCAGTTTATTATCTGTGCCGTAGCAGCGGTGGTGTACGCCTTCAAAAGTCAACATCTGTTCGCCGATGCCTGGTACCTGGAGACCAGTTGGGTGTCAGGCATTTCGAATTTCCTAACCTCCTTAGGTGTCGTAAGTTTACGAGGGTTTATGGCCTAGGGTTTGGGTTCTGTCGACGTGTCATGCCGTACATGCCGAGGGATGAGGGATGATCACTATATATATATATATATAT